AAAAAAATTTGGGCCCGCCCCCCAACCCAACCACCAAACCCCAAAAAAGCTTGGCCCTTCACCCCCAAAAAAACCCCGGGGCCTTTCAACCTGGGCCCTTTGAAAGCGCCTTGGTTCCACGAGGGGGGCGATGCTGGCTTCAGGGCGCCGCCGCCGTCGCGTTGCTCCTGCAGTGCTAAGGGCTTCACGCTCGACATCACCCGCCCGTCGCACCTGCGGCAGATGCAGCTCTCGCTCGCGGTCGGCTGGGTCGCCCTCTTCTACAGCCGCGGGCTGCGGTACGCCCAGGTCGCGCTCGAGGCGGTCTTCTTCTTCGAGCGCGAGGGCGCGGCCGGCATGCGGCGCGGCGCGCTGGTCGCCTCCGCCCTGATGGGCGCGATGAACGTGCTGGTGCTACTGGAGATCACCGGCAAGACGCTCAAGTTCCTGCGGCTCTCGGCCAAGACGCCGGCGCCGGAGGACGCGCCCGCGCACTTCGAGGAGCTCCAGGACCTCGCCGAGGACTCCCTCAGCGCGCCGGCCGGCCCCGCGCTCGCGCCCATCCGGCCGCTCGCGGCCCTCTCGGCGCGCCAGAGGGGCTTCGCAAAGTGGCGCGGAGCGGGCGTGATGGTGCAGCATCAGCTCAGCGTGCGACGCGCCAAGCAGGCCTAGCGCTTGCCTGGCTAAGGAAGGATAGGCCACGGCCCCCTGAACAGCGACTCCGCCACTGGCTCGTCCGACGGGTCGTGTAGCGAAGCCAGGTAGGGGTGGGCTATCGCCTCGTCCACGGTGAGGCGCTTGGCAGGGCTGAAGGCGAGCAAGCCTCGCAGCAGGTCGAGCGCAGCTGGCGAGGCGCTAGGGAAGAGGCGTTCGAGCGTAGCGTATGCATGCCCGGCGGCTTGTTGCACGAGTATATGTATGTAGAGGTAAGGTGAGGTAAGGTAAATTTCTCCAAACGCACAAGTATGTATGTAACTGTAGAGCGGACCCGGTTTGGGGAGGGCGCGAGTGGGAGAACCTTTCGGCGGTCGTGGAGGGTCGTGGAGGGTCGTGGAGGCGAGTCACGCT